ATATAAAGATATCTATTAAAATTAAAATAATTTAAATTGAATCTGGAAGCTTCCCGCGCTTTCCTACGCCTTAACCGGCCGCGTGTACACAACCTTATACAACTGTATTCATTAGTCGCGTATAAAACTATCGTCTGACTGTATAACGGAATTAAATGTATGCTAATGAATCTATAGAACGGAAGTGAACTATGACAAACGAAAATCTATTTCGTGGGAATACTGCAAAGCCAACTGACGTCACTCCCGAAATATGTGACAATGACAGCTCTTGTTGACAACGCCCTGGTAATTTGTTGTTTTCCTATGTTTAATCCCTAATCGCACACGTTTATTTGCTTCAGAGTACTAAGCCAATGTACTGACGTATCATAAAATCAATCGTACAATCAATTTTTGTTTGCAGTGAGAATTTGAAACATACACATCCTACGAAAATTGTTGGCGCCAGTCGCTCTAGACAGGTAGCAGACGCCATGAGGATATACTAGCAGCCGACACACTATAGAGAGTTTCCAAGAACAGCAGATAAAGAACAATTCGATGTAGATTATACAATAAAGTCATGCACAGTTTGATTCAGTTATACACTTGGTATCACTCTTAACTTACCACTTCCTTTAGTATTGCATTTATGTCTTTCATAGTGTAACATTTTTGTATTCATTGTTCTCTTCCAGCTTACTCAGGCCATATTCAATTTCGTGTTTATGCGTTTGACCAGTATGGTAACCACAACGTTGGGCCAGAGGACAGTAAACACATTCAGAAAGTGATATAGCAGTAAAAACCACTGCTGACCAAATGCCCAATGGTCTAATTCTAATTTTAGTCTATAAAACAGTATTTTGGAAGTCTGCAGGTCGTTCCTGAAGTAAATTCAAATAATTTATTAATTTATCTGTGTTTTGTACGTCATTGATTACTAATATGTAGACGTCTATTTAAGAGATTAGCGATCTTAGCTCTTCCATGTGAGTTCAAATTTTCATTAATAAACTTCTTTGTAAATAATCAGAACATTTTCAAACTAATTCTGCTGTACACAGTGTTAATAAAAGGAATAAAAATTAGCTTCATAAAGTAATTTCCAACTCATGTTCCAGGAGAGTGTTATGTTATACAGGCACTAACATTTTCAACAGTTTGCCATCAAGTATCACAATTCTTCTAAATAAAAAGGCACAATTTAATTAAAACATATTTAATTACAAATCCTTTTGCTCTGTTATTAAATTTCGAATGTTTACAAATAGATCATAATGTTAATTCAGGGTTTCTTGTCTTAATAAATTATAAATAGCCAGTATAATTTATCTGCTGTATGTAGTGGATGTATGTATTCGTAACATATCACTAATTATGTGGATCCTTTGTTTAAAATATGTGAAATTTTGTAATAGTATGAATTGTATTATTACGACTTTATTCCACATCTTATTATCTAACACATGGATCCATGAAATGCAATTTGCAAGCGTTGATACTACATGCAGTTGGTATCACCCTATGTTGGAATTTGTGTAGTTGGTGGTGCACACAGATCAGCTGGTACATACAAGCACATGCAATACCAACATACAAGACAGTTACAGATTAACATCTTGCGTTTTTTTTTGCGTGTTATTTATCATAATGCCAACATAGTACCCAGTTCAGCTAATACCAACGTACCCAGTTTATGACGTTATCCTAGTTCATTGCGGTGAAGGTTCAAATATGATGGCTGTACTTTTGTACTGATGAAGGTTGGTGCAGTAGTGATAAATTTTCCAGTACATTTTTTGCTGGTATTATATAAGCAAGTTAGTTGTACGAAGTTAAAAATTACTATGTTCGGGTGTTGTGAAATGATTGTGGAGGGTATGGGATATCATTATTTTTACCGAACAGTAAATTATTTACTAATCTGTATGTGTTTTTTTATTCCTAAGGATGTGTACACAAGTTTTTATGAGTCAGGGTGATTTTGATCTTGGTTTATTTACTATTTAAGTGAGTTATGTAGTGGATCCCTTTGCAAGGTTGGTGACGGGCCCAGTACATATTTCTAACAGTCCTAAAAAATAGTTCTGTAGCATGTTACTTCTTCTGTCAGATCCCATGGCCCTGTATTTGTAACATATTTTTATCACAGAATCTTTAATTGTACTTCTGGAATGAGTGATATGAATATCTAGAAATAGTTTTAATAATTGAGGTGCCAGCAGTTTATATAGTAGTGATGGTGGCAGTGTTGCCAGTACAATATAATGAAAATAGTAATGGTAATTTTTTGCAGGAAATATGTAATGGCAGACATATCAGCAGTTGAAATCCAAGTCTTGTTTTTTGCTAAAGCAAGGGAACTTTGTGGAAAGAAAGAAAGCCAGTTACTAATTCCATCAGCAACATCATATGATAATCTTTTGGATGAAATAGTTCAGAAATTCTCTCTGGAACCTATTCGAGATAACTTGATATTAGCCATTAATGAAGAGTATGCTACTTCAGAATCTGAAGTTCATCTTAAAGAAGGAGATCAAGTAGCAGTTATTCCGCCACTCAGTGGAGGTAATTAAGCAAAATAAATTGTGTGATGGAGAGAACTTTATCACAGAGAGGCACACATTATATTTAGTATTGCATTTAGTGCAAATTTACATTTGATAATAATAACACAAATTATGTTGACTGCAACAATGATAAAGTGATAAGTATTATGATGCACAAGTACAAAGTAATGCAACTTGTTCTTATATGGATTTTGATACTTTATGGTCAAGTCATGACTCCTGTAAAAGATAAGTATTTACTCTTTGTTCCATACCTATTTCTGTTCTTGTTTACTTGTAGTTGTAGAATGTTCTATGTTATAATATGTAGTTTAGCAAGAGGATGGTATTAATTACAGAGTCAGTTGTCTGTTGTAAATAATACAATTATACATAATTGATGTACATCAGTTATAGATATATTATAAACAACAAAACAGGAAGTCAAAATTAATTAGCATGTTGGCCAGGTCTGGCCCACAGATTATAGGTAGACTTTTGGGATTAACTTTTACAATAGTGTAATATATTCAGTAATCCTTTTCTATCTGATGGAGTTCAGTCAGCCCACAGTATTGGTTGACATATGTAGCAGAATCTTTTTATTTTCAGTTGATTGATATCCTGCTACTAACTGCAATGCACAGCTCTAAGAAAAATGTTTATTTCAGGTCTTACCAAGAACAGCCATTTTTAAGGTAATATTTATGATAGGATGATAAATGTCTCAAGTAACATATTTTTGGACTGTTTCAGTATTTTGTTTCTTGAAGACAGGCTGTTGAGGAAACTATTTGGAGGTAATAGATAGGAAATAACAGAAAGGTGATGAAAATTGCATAATGAGGAATAATGTAATTGGTGCCAAATAGGATTAAGGCAATAAAATAAGGAGGGTAAGATGGGCAAGAATGCAGCATGCATGAAGGCAATGAGGAATTTGTACAAAATTTGGCTATAACATCTGACAGGAAGAGATCACTTTTGAGACCTACTAGATTTAAGTAAGAAGATAACAGTATAATGGATCTTGAAGTAATAGGGTGTGAGGATGTGGGCTGGATTTAAATGGCTCAGGATAGGTTAAGTGGTGTGTTCTTGTGAACCTCCAAGTTCCGTGAAAAGCAGGGAATTTCTTGACCAATTGATTGACTTAGCTTCTCAAGAAGGACTGTAGAGTTCAGTACTTTATAAATACAGATATATCCTTTTTTTCAGGTTAAATTTACAAGTACAAGAAGAACAATTGTCATTGGCTATGGATTTTGTGAAAATTGTGAATTCAAAACTCAGCGTTGAAGAAATTTCAAACTTAGTTTCTTCACCATCATGTGGTGCAATATCTCTTTTTGTTGGCACAACCAGAGATAATTTTGAGAATAAACAGGTAAAAGTTTTATTTTTTTTTACTGGCACCAAAGATACAACAATATTCACAGTGGGTAGTGTGTGAAGAATAGCACATTTTATAAAGGAACAGGTAAAATAGGTGAATTTTCATAGAATGTTTTGTCCTTTGCAGCATTACTTCTGGGTTAATCTATTTTTATAAGAGAACATTTCATGATACCTTGTGATGTAACTAGCTGATCAGATTCCTGAGCTGTTGAAGGTTTTGAGGAAACAAGTTACAATCAAAGCACTTCATAGCTTACCCTAAAATAGGTTTCACATACAATTTTTAGGTATATTTAGTCAAAGTTTAAATTTTCTGTTAACTATTATTCTCTTCCTGTGTAACGATACTTCCAGCAGAAGTAACATTGTATGAAGTTTATATTATCTCAGAACATACCCCACTTCATTTTGTTCAGTAGTTGGTCATGTCACATCATCACTGTATGACAAGGCCAACTTTTGTGGCAGCTGATTGTAAAATTAGTTTGTCATAACGTGTTTAATATGCTTACCAAAATTCTCTTTGTTTTTCATTTCATAATTTGTACATCATCATGCGAGAATTTATTTTAATGAATTGCAATGATAGACATATTTTGTACATGCTGCTAGACATTGACACATGTCAAGATTTTCATTGACCATAAACATCTTGTCAAGGACTTAATGAAGATGAAGATGTCAGGATATTGATAGGGATATGGTTTAGTTGGTCTGTGAAATTAGGAATAGTTAATCATAATTTACTCTAGTTATCAAGATGGAAAGGTAAATGAAATTTCAGTAGTGCTACTATTTTGATCATGCTTTGTCAAGTCTAGTGTCAGTCCTCAGACTGCAGTAATCGTAAGAAAATTTAAAAGATCTGTCTTATCTTCTGTTGTAAAACATTGTGGCTAAATTGTTTAGTTATATTTATGAATAACAGGTAGTGCATTTGGAGTATGAAGCTTATGTTCCGATGGCAGAGAAAGCAATGAAGAAGGTGTGTGAAGACATTCGGGGGAAGTGGCAAGTGGAACATATAGCTATATATCATAGGTACAACTATTTTGTGATTTTATAAACTATAATAGCCCATAAATTTATTGAACACGTTTAATAACATGCAGTAGTCTGTATGTTGTCATTCAGATATTATTTGGATAATTTTTAATGTTGGTAAGTATGTTAAGACTTTTTTAATATTTAATCATCAGAACATTAAATAATACAATAATCTCCTGTCCATATATTTTATGTGTATATACTATCTGTGAACAATTATTTGAAACAGGTACTGTGTTGCTGAATATTTCCCCAAGCATTTTATGTGTGAAAGAGAAATGAGTTTATGTTCTTCAGGTTTCCTTAATTTGTTTCAGAATCTCTTATTTAAATAACCATTTGTTAGGCCCTTCTTTTATTTTGATTTAGGTTAGGCATTGTTCCTGTGATGGAGGCAAGTTTAGTGATAGCATTATCGTCGCCACACCGAGCAGAGTCTCTCCAAGCTGTCCAGTATGCTATTGATACCGTTAAGTCGTCAGTACCCATCTGGAAGAAAGAAGTGTATGCTTCTGAACAGGCGGAGTGGAAGGAAAACACAGAATGTGCGTGGAGAAGTAAATAGACTATTCTTGTTTATCACTTTCTAACTGATTTTTCTATTGCAGGGAAATGGTAGTGTTTGAGGATGACATTAAATTATTAGATTTGCATCTTGTGAGAACATGCATTGAGTTTGAGACATGGCTCATTGAAAGTATCTGAAATCATTAATATTTATCTCTATTAGATAACAGAAAACATGTCTACTTTTATGGGTTTTTTGTAATTGCATATTATCAGGGAATTAATTATTGAAAATTGCTTAAATCAGATTAGTACTTCTGTCATTAAATTATTGTCATGTTCTAAAATCATAATCTGTCCTGTATTGTACAGGAAAGCACCATATGCTTTGTTGATGGCATGAACTTTTTGGTTGTTAATGATCTTAGGTTGGCATTTATTTAACTATTTTTGGGTAGTGGTTAGATTTTGTTGATGTGTATGAATAAATAATAGTGAAAGCTTTAGTTTTGATATAGATTTTATGAAATATTGTTCATTGTTATGTTTTGTCTTGTTGTTAAAGTGTTTAATCTATATTCCAGATTATTATTATTTACTGTTTGATTGCTATAACACACTACTTTTGTGTGACATAATATTTAAGCATTGAATTAGTGTTTTACACATATGTATATGTGCACATTACATTTCAATGTCTCTTGAATAAAACTTGCATCAGTATCAATCAATATTTCTTCCAGATATGTATCATATCAGTGTCACATTATTTGTTAAGTTCAGTGGACCTTTGATACTATTGACTTTCCAATCTGTTGTTTCTCATATCTGTCATCCACTATTTAACACCGTTTTTTTTTTATCTATTGTTGCTGTATCCATCATCATGTTGACACCTTCCACTTGTCATATCACTTCCTGTTACTTGGCATTTCATAAAGCTGTGCTCAAACTGAAGTGGTGTGTGGTAGCAAGATGCTACTTTACTATTACTGCAGTGTTCGCACAACAAAGTGGTATGATTTCGTATCTTGATAAGTCGTTGATCAAATCTCCAGTCACTACACTCTACTGTGTTTTCTAATTAATATGTGTGTCATCTGAAAAAAAAACCAAGACATCTTGCTATTAGCAGGCAAGGAATATAGCAGGTATGTATTTATGTAGTAATTACATTTTATTTCCTAAAATACTCTGAGAAAATTATGAAATGGATACATAAAATCAATGCAGAATGGTGAAATTACACATTGATTTCAGAATTGTAGCAGAATGAAAAGAGATTTTATATCTACTTTCATATGACTAATGATTATTTTGACAAGGTTTTGTACAGTACATTGTTTTCCTGGTTTAGAGTTTGTTGTGGTGTTACTGCCATTTAAGGAATGAAAGTGAGGTCTGTACATGGAATCTGGACCCTGGTTCAGTGTTTATATGAACACAATATGTAAAATCCTTTCCTTTCTTGCTGATAGCTAAAGTCACTTTCTCCCCTTCCACCACCGCTGTATAAAGCCATGAAGCCTGATAAGGCATTTTATGAGTTGACAATGTAGTTAAGAAGTCACATTATTTCAATAAATACAGTTGTACTTCACTTCATCTGTTCTGAGGTACAGTCATGTCTTGTAAATCCTACATTTTGGAAATGTTTTTGTAACCAAGGGAGTACTTTTCCATTTCATTTTTATATATATATTTTTATATATTTTTTGTCTTGATTTAAAGTTGAAAGTGCTTGTTCCATAGTCAAACCTGAATGGAGGTTCCATTCTTGTTTTTTTGTGCAACAGACTTCATGCTCATGTCTGAAGTCAATTGAGATAGCTAAGAGGCCATGAGTAATCCCAGCTTTGGAGACAATTTGAAACTTATTGTGGAAACTGGCTTCAAGCCGTAAATACTTGATGTGAACATGGAATACCATTTACAACAGTAACAGTTACAGTTGATAAAAATATAAAGATTAGCACTGCCTGGCATTATCTAGTGTTTGAGAATGAGGTGCAATGTTTTGCTGAAAGTGGAAACGTTACTAATTCTGATTTCTGATCACCAAGCTGAGGGAGATAATGTGAATTCCACTTTGATAAGGCAGAAGGCTAAGAGAATTCCCAACAGTTTTAGTGTTTAACTTTATGACTTCTTGGAATGAATGAATTATCATAACCTGCAAAAAAAAATTTTATTCCACATCAGTTGTATAATCTTTTCTTTAATCTCCGATGTATATATAACAGCACATACTGGAAGTTTCGTGATGATGGCAACAGGGCTTCCTCCAATGTAAAAATGAGGTTTATTTTTGTTATTTTACTGCATCAAGATCCATATGACTCATACTCAGAAGATTCTTATCAGAACCACAGATATACAGGACCAGATTGAATTTTATTTTAAATTTAGTCGACATTTTTTGTTGCAAGACAAAAATACAATAAAAGATCTCCCAAATTGAAACATTTCATGAATTTATTAACCATTAAAATGTTTTACGACTATCAACAATTTGAGAATTGTGATGGCTTTTGCAGTGACCATATCTGATATTTGTGATTGGTATTTTTAGCAGACAGAATCTTGCTGAATAAGATAAAAGTGGAATCATCTGAAGAAATACAAGAACTAGAAGGTGAAGAAGAGTTCAAAAATCAGAAGTCTCATTCTGTAACTACAGTAGTGCCACCACACTTCATCCAAATTAAAGCTGGATCTGAAGAAGTAAGGTGTCTGTATTGTAGAAGCATGTTTAATAGAATAAGTTACAGATATAATTTTGGTTAAAACTGAGGTATTGGTGCTGTTAACCGTATACCCCTTACTGGTATGAAAGATATTATTTTGGCATGTGTGTCATCTTATGCTATAGTTATTTCACATTAACCTTAATTTGTGAGGTTGTGGTAGCTACATGATTAAAACAAATACTTGTTAACATTGTTTCTTTTATCTTATAACAAGTTCATACTGTAGTAGCTTGGATAAACAAATTATTACATGTATGCAATGGTATGATGTATGTTCTGCTATCTTCATTTTCTATTTTTATCATTGATAGTTTTGGAAATATTTATAATCTTATAAAAGGGAACAATATTTTAATAAATACTGGTGATTTAAACTGGATGCAGAATGCTTACAGGGATACTTTAAATATGTATGATAAAGGTCTACGCTACTTCCTGTAACATACTAACAAACATGATTAATAGAAACAATTTTATTTATATATGAATGAATTAACCAGTATGTGAAATATAAATGTATTTCTTCGTTGACAGATTGCACGTCGTATAAATTCGTTTATCGAACGAAAGCGAGAGCAGGTGAACTTGGGAAATATTCAAGATTTTTGTTACCATGACAGTGCACCAGCAAGTGATAGCTCATGTGCAAGAGTTGATGCTCTATTGATTGCAAGAAAAGACAGTAAAAGTCACCTGCGTGGTAAGTATTTCAAGAAATTAACCAACTATTCATTAAAGCAAGAGTGGGATCTGAAATCAGGTTTTTGACATCAAAAGTATAAAAGCAATAATGCATTTTCGATGACAAGCATTCAGCTTG